CCAGCGCTGGGAGAAAAGTATTACCCACTCTTGATAGAGCACATTATACTTATCTTACAGATAAACGAGTTAAAGCAGAGAGGGCGAACAATTCATATAGGGTCATAATAACCAGGATTCTTAATTCTCATGTGGCTGACTCCAGGGTCTGGATTCTTTCTAGTATTGCCTTCTTGAAAAGGACAGTCAAGGACAGGAAAGACCGTTTTCAGTTCTAATGTGCAGCGTGCTCTGTTTTCCCGCCACTGCCCGTGCCCCTGGCCCCGGGGTCCCGCTAGCCTGCCATGGCCTGAGGGGCCCTGCGCTGTCTGTCCCCCTCACCCGCTGCGCTCTGGCCACCGCGGTGGTCTTTCTGTGCTCAGACATACTTGGCCCCTCCCGCCTCGCCTCGGGACCTTGCACTTGGTACACTCTCTCCCTGGAATGTTCTTCCCATGTGTCCCCACGCCGGCCCTCCCCTCCTGTGCCGTCCTCTCTGTCACAGCGGCTGAGTGAGGAGGCTGGACCTTGAGGACAAGACGAATGCAGGGACGGCTCACAGTCTGACGGACCAGTCAGTCATCCTGGGCAGTCATCCTGTGGTAGCCACTGGCTGATTTTAAGTGTGAGAATGAGAGGGTCAGATTTTAGAAATACGGCTGTGGCTGAGGCAGGGAACGGGGACGCTGACATTCATGTCACCCCCATCTCCTTGCTTATGTGTCTCCGCCCACTACTCCCGTTGGAAGAGGCCCCCAGTCCTGGCCACGCACTTCCCCTCACCCCTACCACCTACAATGCCCACCTGACAAACACCCCAATCAAAGATGGGGTAGGGAATATCCAACTCACCTGTGACACCAGTACTGCTTGGACCCCGTAGCCAACAGTGACAACAATAAGACATTCTCACTCATGGACGGCAATACTAAATCCTACCAGAACACTAACGAAGGATGCCAGACACTGCAAGAATGGTCAGTTACGGCTCGGGGCACCTGGGGGGCTCAGTCGGTTAAGCGTCTGACACTCGACTGCCGCTCAGGTCACGATCTCATGGTTTGTGAGTTCGAGCCCCCTGTTGGGCTTTGCACCGACAGCATGGAGCCTGCCTGGTTTTCTCTCCCTCTGCCCCTCCCCGCTCACGCTCTCTGTCTCAAAATAAATAAATAAACTTAGAAAAGAAGAATGATCAGTTATGCCTTAAGTAGGGATTTAACTCTGGAATACAGGGCTAGCTCAAACCCAAGCAAAACGTCCCACACTGTGCATCACGTTACACTCCTTACAAGTTTTTAGAAAAATAATGTATTTAAAATACAGAGCCAACAGTATACTTAATAGAAAAACTATTATAGACAACATCTTTAAGAATAAAAGCAGGCAGGGACCTAGTTAATATAAAAATTGGCAAGGGATGCCTCAAAAGAAATTGACGTATGTAACAAACACTGAAAATGGAGAAAGAAGATGCTTTCAACAAGTGACGTGTGTCAATTATGCCTCAAAAAATGGGGGAAAAAGAGACAGCTGTGCATGCAGAAAACCCAAGGAAATCAGTCAGAGTTCATGTGATCAATACTGGAAAACACAAGGTAAGTGTCTAAAAATGAACTGCATATGCACACAGAAAATACGGGGAAAATGAAACACCATTAGAGCAGCGGCAGGAGCTCTGAGTGGATGGGCAGTAAGTCAGTAAGGGACGCGAGACACAAAATTAAGTCATCAAAGCGGCACGGGAGAAATAAAGGGCAGGGGGAACAGGTGGCGGGGAGGCCCCGACTGAGCAGAGACGTCCTAGAACCCAGGCGGTTGGGCAGGCGAGGCGCGGTGCGGACCAGGACCCCGGGGGGCATCTCGTACAGCCTCAGAGATGGGCTCTGAACGGAATCTGGGAGCCACGTGGGGTCTGAGATGTCCGATGCGTGAGTGTGGGTTATACGGACTCACACACTTAACAGAGCTCGGCCGGCTGCACGCTCGAGGTCTGCTCGTTGTTATGTGTATGGTCTCAATGCCGAGAAAAAGCCCACAACTCACCAGCCGGGTCCTGGGCCTCGTATATAAACACGTGAAACCACTCAGAAGACTGAGTGGCGAACCCGTTAGCTGCTTCCCACTCCCTAAGCTTCGGTCACATCCCGCGTGGGTGGGGGGCTTCTGAGAACAGTCTCCTGACTGGTGTTGTTACTCATGTTCCCTCTGCCTGGAAGGGATTTCCTGAGCTCGTCTGCCTTGAAAATTCCAACGGATCTTTCACCTTGGCTCAACACATCCGGGCTCTGGCACTGTCCCTGACCCCTCCAAGGACCCACGGGCTCCTGGTGCTCCCCCGCCGCACCCCAGCAGAGCAGCACGGGCCGGCACCCTGCAACCCTGAGCAAGCCTTCGCTCACTCGCGGTCAGTCGTGCATGAGCTGGTGGTATTTACATTCAGCAGCTCTAGTTCGGAGAATAGGTAATAGTGACTTTTTATTTATTTATTTATTCTTATTTATTTTTGAGACAGACAGAGACAGAGCATGAGCAGGGGA